CCCAGTCCTCATCTTTTAATGAAACTCAGGACACATTAACATAGACGGTCACCCCTCCCTGACGAGGGTGCCGCTGATGCTGTCCTGGAGAGGAAAAGTGCTTTTGACTTTATGAAGAATTCAGAAGCTCTTAAGGAGGGAAAGGGGACAGGAGGTTGGCCACAGGCTAAGGCTCTTACAGGGCAGGCAACACCTCCAGGAGCCTGGGGTCTCTTGAGGCACCTCCTCTGGGAGACCTTAAAGTCAGTCTCCACATGGATTCTGGAGGTCCGAGGCGGGGCCTGGGGCTGCCTATGGGGCTGCCTTGTCCCGAGGAGGACGTCTGGAAGGACTGGAGCTTCTGTTCCCCTGAACTGGGCCCTTGCATGTCAGTCCCGGTGACAGGCGCAGCTGATGCTGCAGGGAGGCACCGGGGCTCAGCTTTAGGGCACCTGGCAAGTGTCCTGCCCGCCCCACGATGGGAAGTGCAAATGCTGTCACATGCCAACACCCAAACAACACTGGCTCGTAGTGGGGAAGGCAGTCGGGATTTAGCGACTACACCAGGACCTGTGATATTTTAGGCTCCCATTAGACCTCTGAGGGCAGAGAATGGCCTGTGCCCTTCACTGCTGTACGCCTTGTGCCCGGCACAGGCCCTGGAGCAAAGTAGGTGGGGAGGGGGGTCGGAGAACATTGTGCTGAGTGAACCACGATCATACCACCAGCACCTCACGTTCACCAGGCGCTTTCCAGTCTGTGAGACGCATTCACTCAGGCGGCCTCATGTCGCCTGCGTGACAATTCTAACTCCCTTGGAAGCTTTCTAAGACCAGAGAGCTGCCACCTGTATCTGCCGCTCACCTGTACCAGGTGAGCAGGGCCCCAAAGGTCTCTGTACACGATCAGATTTCACAGCTGGTCTCTGGGCATTTGGGAATCTACCGGGATTGCTGGGGAATCTTCTGAAAGGGCCGAGGTGCTGCAGTCAGCGAGCGGCTGAGGAATGTTATTTCCTTTGATTTCCATGCCCTCCACCTCTGAGCAGTAGAAGGGACCAAGGCCAAGGACGAACCCCGGGGAAGTGGAGCCCGTGAGTGTTCCCTTGTTTCTGTGTCAAGCAGTTGGAGTTGGTTCTTTACAGTTAAGGCAACGTGGAATGTTTGTCTTTCCCCCTTTTAAAAAAACCTCATATTTAGTTTTCCAAATTTTCTTGGCAGCCTCAACAGCTCTCTCCTTTTAATTCTCATTTTGTATTTGCCAAGAGCAGGAGATATTTTTAGGTGTTTGGGCTGGGTCTCAACGTGGGGGAATGCAGGGCCATCGCTGGATGTGGCCATCAAGTGCGTTTCAAGTACAACTCAGGCAGAGCCTGTTTCCCATGAGCAGACCCGGAACGCTCAGCTCTGCGTTTCCCAAAGGCTGGGCTGAAACTGGAAAAAATCTTTTCCAGGGGGATTAGGATGGAGCTTGACAATAAGCCTGGTCACTTGTTTTCCTCTAGAACCTGGAGAACACTCCCTCACCTTTAGGAAGTTGCCTGAAGAGCCCGTGTACCAGTACTGGAGTGACAGCCTCCAGCTGGAGTCTGGGCATAAATGGCTGATTCCAGGTCTGGGTGGGGACACTGGGCCTGGACAGCTCATCACATCAGGTAGTTAAAAATCTTTTTCAGTGACTCCTGAGTTAGGTCAAAGGATTCGGAAGGCTCCTGATGACCAAAAGCAAGTTGAGCTTCAAATAAGTAGAGCCACAACGAATTGTAATATAACACCTAAGTCGAAATCTATGAGTTGAAAATGATATTTTTTTAAGAAAGTCCTTCTTTGTTCACTTATGGGGGGGGGGTATTTTGGAAGGCAGCTGTGCTCACCACTCTACCATCAATCCTTACTATTTTGGGGGGGTTAATAAAGGGAAAGAATCAAGCCAGAAATTTGGCATAGGAGTAAGGGGTTTCTGAAATTCATGGACCCGAGTCTGTCTCTTGGGGCAGCACCTGAGTCCTGCTCTCCTTTCTCAAAGTCCTGGGATCATTGGGGACTTTGAGAAAGCCCCCAGGTTTGGGTCGTGCCCAGAGATTCTGACTGAATCGGTGGGAGAAGGTGCCTTGTTAGATGTTCCCCCAATGATGCGGCCAGGACGAGGGCCCCAGAGCCCATCTCCTGGCTTCCACTCTTAGTCACTCCCACTCTTAGTCACTCCCATTCTTCCTGGGTTCAAATCCCAGTGCTGACTGTTGGGCAGGTCGTTTAACTCATTTGTGCCTCCATGTCCACCTAATAGAGGCGGTGAGGACCGCACTGACCCTTACCTGGTGAGCGCTGGGTAACCCTGTTGGCCATGCTAGCCATATCACCTGGAATGGCGGAGAAGACGGGAGGGGACGTTCCCTGAGAAAGACTCAGAGAAGGAGACTGTCCAGGGCTGGTCTTTCTGAAGGATGGGAAGTTCACTCTGGAGGAGCTTGGAGACCAACCATCGGGGGGAGTAGGACACACCCTTCTGCAGACTTTTATATATATAACACACACACACACATATTATATATTGTTGCTGTTGTTAATCTTCACCTGAGGATATTTTTTCTATGTCTTTTCAGAGGGTAGAAAGGAGGGAAGGAGGGGGAGAGAAAGAGACAGAGAGAGAAACATCGATATGAGAGAGACACATCAACTGGATGCCTCCCATGCCTGGGGACAGGGAGTGAACCCTAAACTGAAGTACGTGCCCTTGATTGGAATTGAATCCAATCCCGAGACCCTTCGGTTGAAGTTCTAACCACTGAGCACACTGGCCAGGACCCCTCTTGCAGACTTGATTGATGAAAGCTTTGGTCACCTAGAAAAATGTACCTATGTATATGCAAAATTTTGTTCCACAAATCTGGAGGCTCCCAGACACTCAAGCCCACTAGAGCCCTAAGTTGAGGTCCATTGCCTTCTCCAGGTTAAATAATGGTTCCACCAACTGCTTTACCATATTGACAATATCCATCAAAACATTAAATGCACATACTGTTAGACACAGAAATTTCACTTTTGGGACTTTGTCCTGCAAATAATGCACATGAGCCAAATGACAAAAGCACAGGATTGTTTACTGTAGCCTTCTGGTCACAGAAAAGATAGGAGACTCAGTGCGCACCCAGTGGGGACCAGTGGAGGCAACGAGGTCTGCACAGTGGGACACTCAGCAGCCTTCAGAAGAATGCAAAACTCTTTCTGTACCAAAATGAAACCAAGTCTAAGAATCGTAGCAGGCACAGCCCAGTGAGCCCACGTGCTATGACTTGTACAGGGAAAGAAAAGGTACCCACGTGCGCCTGTGTACGCACTTGTTTGTAGATGGACAGAACACTTCTGAAGTGAGATCCAGTCGATTAGTCAGTGTCCTGGCCTCTGGGAGGAACTGCTTGGCTCAGCCACAGGGTTTTAAACTCACCCCAAACAACCAATGTGTAAGTTTAAAAAGAAAGAAGAGCTCTGGCTGGGTAACTCAGTTGGTTAGAGCGTCGTCTGGATATGCCAAGGTTTTGAGTTTGATCATCCGGTCAGGGCACATATAAGACTCAACCAATGAGCGCATAAATAAGTGGAACAGCAAATCGGTCCCTCTTCCTCTCTCCCTCTCTCTCTCTTCTCTGCCCGCACCCCCTTACCCTCTCTAACATCAATAAAAAAAATTTTAAACAAGAAAAGAAAAAAAAAAGAAGAAAGACACTGGGTTGAGTGACAAAGATGCACGGAAAACTTTTGAACAGGAAAGAAAAGACAGGACTGCCTTTGCTTTGGGAGGACCTGTCCACTTGGATAGAGCAACTGAGGACTGCGAGGCCACTGATGGGCAGGGCAGGGGCAGGGGTAGGGGCAGG